CCCCAAAACCCCAAAACCCCAAAACCCCTGATGCCTTATAATAAAAGTTTAAGAATAGTCAAATATCTATAATTGACAATTATCATTAAATTTACAAAAGAATTCAATCGAATTACACCTGCTTTTGTGATACATACTTTTGGGGCAATTTATAAAATTTTAACTTTCAACTTATCACTCCTCTATACCGAAGCCTCTAATTTCATTCTTAGCTATATAGTCCATTGCTTCTTTTAGATGATTATAAGTTGGGTACCTAGGTAAATCAAGTCTATTAAAGCAAGTGTGAGCTCTAGGTAGATTTCCCATAGAACCTTTAAATGGTGTATAAGAAACTTTTTAAATGCAAAATTTGGCTTTTTCCCCTCTATTACTTTCTAGCGATCTGAATCCGCCAAGTGGAACTCTAGATGTCCCAGTGCAAAATTATAGGATATTAGCTAGCTCAACTTGATTGTAAGTTCCCATAACAGACCAGAATCTATTAACAGTTTAGCTCCATCTACCAAAGTCTTTGTATTCTGTATTAGCTTTCCAATCTTCAAGATCTATTCTTGGATTTCCACAAATCGCAGCCTCGAGTTCATCAGATGAAAATATACTAACCCAACTTTTAGGAATAACTTTATGGAATCCTTCTAGAATTGATTGGATCTATTATTCTACAGACAAATATCCGATATAATGGCATTTTTTCTTGATAAAAAGTTCTTTATTTGTATTGTTTACTCGAATTTTAGACCCTCCAGGAATAAGTTCAATTGTATTCTCTCCATTATTTATGTTATCAGTAATATTAGAGTGAATATCTGTTGTAAAATATTACTCTATAACATCTTCAAATGCAGACAAATCGTTATCTCTAAAAAACTTCAAGCTGTTGTAGACCTAAGAGCAAATGAATATAAATATATAACTACTTACATTGTAATCGATATTCTTGAACTCGTCTAAATTATCATATTCATTTTCAGTAACTTCACCAACAATTGCTTTAAAAAGAGCCTTGTTGAGGCAGACATTTAGTGGGATATGATCAAATAAAGCTTTTCCTAATATCTTTCCAAAAAAGTAGTAAAGGGTGAGATAATTATCAATATATTTAGAGTCTTCATTGATTTTATATGAAAACTCAGTTGTGGTTGCTACTGTGAATAAACCTAGATTTGGACTTAGAAGTTCCTTCATAAGTGTCGTAAAAAATTCTCTAGATAAGCCTCCTGCATCTTTCGATAGCTCGTTGTTAAAGGTAACTTTTAGCTCCTAAAAATAATTTACAATCAGTAAATTGCTGAAATGCTTACTTTTCTGAGATCATTAATGTCAAGAAAATATTTCATGGAGTCCTATATCAGATTTTCACGATTGATGATGATTTCATTAAAACCTGCTGTGAAATCGAGAGTATTTTTATCTATTTTGTTATTGAACCAAATCACTTTATCTCTAGTAGAGGACTTCTTTATCTCTTCCTCGCTTTTCTATTAGATTTAAAGCACTATATCAGCGGTCAGTAAAGTTGATTGATCTTTGACAGTGACTATTTTTTACTCTCCAAAGTCGTCCCTCTAGACAATGATTTTCAACCCTCCTTCTTGGTGATTGTATTCCTCTATTAAAGATGAATAGATATAATCAAATTTCGAAAGAGGTTATGAAAATTTACTTTAAATTTTTCTTCTCTTTTACTCTTCTTTGCCTTTTGTTGGATTAGTCATACATTGATCAATATGACCATTGACCTAGTGAAAAAATATTATGATATCAATTAAAACATCATATTGATCGAAATAATGAACAAAATAGAACGGCCATCTTAGTGATCAGGAATATGATAAATGGATTGCAACTTACATATCCGTGAGTCAAGCCTCTATTAAATGTCATTCCACAAATAGGACACTCAGAATCTACTCCGATTGGTTTGTTATAACGAGGGGCTTTGTTTCCCATTGTGATATTTTATTACTTTATCAAAATAATCTTTTTATATCTATTGTTGCTATAAATGACACAAGGGGTTTTGGGGTTTTGGGGTTTTGGGG